AAGAATCAGTGACCATGAATCTTGAAAAATTTTTCAGATCAGGTCATTCTAATCTGAATCTTATTATTGATTGTATAGGGTCAGAATCTGATAAGATTGACCTGAAATCAAGATTCTGTCAGAAATGATCTCAAGATTGTCGACTTGTAATAACTTCTTCCTTAACTTTCTTTGATTATGACTGGTCCATTACAAGCCAGTAACTAGCTTGAATTATACAGCGAATGTGGCTGTGTGTCAAACTGTTGGCAGCGCTAGGATGGCTAATTAACGTTGTCATACAGGAACCTGAGGGTATTTGATGGGTGCGTTAACTTTTGTAGTGTAGACACTCTCCAAGTTAAGTATAAGTTAAAGTCGAAAATTGCATAGTATAGACAAGGCCAAAGATGACACAAGTTAACCGAAAGTTTAGTATCTATCAATAAAAAAAAACTGCAGTTTACACGCACATACATACAGCGTTTTAAATAAATGTTACAATATGACATTTTATACTTGATTTTACTGTGAGCGAAAACTGGAGCATTTGCATTCATTAAGTTCTGCAGGTTTTGGCAAAATTTTCATAGAATTTGGCAAAACTCTGCAGGTTTTCGCAAAAATCCGGCAAATCGGTGAGAGAGAGTTCTGAGAATATTCTTGCACAATTCTCTTGTCTAATAATTCTTTTATTTCTTCCTTTTTCCTTCGTAGTTTATTTATATTGTTTAACTAAATGTTTCAAAATAATAGCACGTAGCTGTTATTAATTTTAGATTTTGGTTGTCCTACAACATTTGTTTTTATTGTCAACTACTGATGAAGATTTTTATTAATCGAACCGTTTAGTTAAGCAATATAAATAAACTATGAAGTAAAAAGGAAGAAATAAAGAATTATTAAATAATAACAACTTCGTACATAGTAAACAGTAAAAAGACGCAATTCTCTTGTTTTTGACAAAATTCTGCAGATTTTGGCAACATTTTGATAAATCGTGAGAGTTCTGAGAATATTGTTGCATAATTGTGTTGTTTTCGACGAAATTCTGCTTTAATTCGTGAAATTGCGGTAGAATTTTACAAAACTCTGCAGCGAATTTTGTCTGCGTTGAGGATAAAATTTCACCGTTGCAGTCCTCGTGTCTTTTCTGGATCCACGGACGTTTCTAGGACACATCAATTCCAAACAGTCTAATCAATGACACAAGTCAGGCGATGAAAGCGGCTGATCAACCAGGAGCTCAATGGTATTGGAAATCGAATTCTGACCCATGGTCAACAAATGGAAAAAGAAAATGGACAAAATATTCTGATATTGAATCAGCGATTATCGAAGAAGCATTTAATGGACAAAATGAAACAAAACTAGCTGACCTGGATAATTATACGATTAACTTAAACGATTCCATTCAAATCAGTAAATCGGATCCAAATAAACAACGGCAAATAAAGCGAGTTCTAATTAGTGGAAATGAAAGTCAAGGTTTAAGAAAAGAAAGATTCTGTCTTCCACCAGCTTTGAGTAAAACGTTCAGTGATGATTGTGGTAAAGACGCGTATAATTTTCTTTCACAATGGAAGCAAGACAAGAAACTTTCTGCTGCTGAAATAGTGAACCAGGCAGCGAATGGAATAGTTATCGAAGGGAATAAAATAGGTCAAGATTGTGCCTCACAATATCTAGCCCGCCAACTAATAGGCGTCGAAAACAAGGACAGACAAGAAATTTACAAGTGTTGCATTCATCTATACACAATGGAATGCTTTTTATATAAACTAATAAATAAAGCACTGAGAGAAAACGACACCAGCAAAATAAACACTCTCGGTCCATTCTGCTACATTTTATTCAGAAGCTGGCTAAAAACACATACAAAACATACAGCGGTACTCTATCGAGGTGTAAATATCGATCACAACATGCTTAAATCGTACGAGGAAGCCAGTCGCAAGAACAGATGCTGGGACGGCTTTACCTCAACTACCAGAAATCGTCACCTAGCCGAAATCTACGGCAACACCTTATTCATTATCGACGCGACCAAAACCGGTGGCTTAGACATATCGTCACTCTCCCACTTCGACGAAGAAGAAGTCCTACTGACACCGGGAACAGTCTTTGAAATCACGCAAGTCAACAAAACCACAACCAAAACCTGCATCTATTTGAAACTGCTAAAT